CAACCCCTCTTATATTTGCAAAATGAAGATGTGTTTCCATAAACCAAAGTATGCCTTGCACTGGAAAATAGAACAGGCTGCAATAGTGTATCACTCAAAACTGAACTGAAGTTCAAACACATTCATTTTCATGCTGGTATGACCAATTCTTAAAAAAATACAAAAACAAAACCAGAACAAATCAAAAGAAAACAAATGAAAAAAGTCCAATAAAGCTGAAGATTTCACTTAATAATTATTTTTTTGCTCACTTCAAAAACTCCTCCTTCCAATAAGTGGATAAAGCAGATGAACTGCGGAGTCTCTTGCTGTTGCCAAATCTGCATTTTTTGGACACATGGCGCTGTCAGGATTTGTTCACAGTGTCCCTCTCCATATTCCACTGTTGGCTCACCCACCAGTGAAATCCTAATCCCAGTCCTTCCTATAGCTGTGACAGGAGCTGGGGCATGCTGGCAAGCAGACACTTGGAAAGCTGAATTCACTGGCACTCTCAATCAGATAGCAATTTCATTAAAGAACTTTTAAATAAAACAAACTCCAACATTTGAACTTCATAATTAAGTGGAAGCCAAATGAATTAGTATCAAGACATGCCATAAGTGGAAGTCTCCAAACCCTGGGACTCCTGTGTCCCTGTGCAGCTCTGAAAGAAAAGCTCCAGCAGCTTGTAGCACAGCAGACCCTGACATTACATCTCCTTGGGACCACAGCTGCTGCGGAGGAGCAGGAGAAGCCGGGACATGCCAGGCTCTGCCTGCTCCCACTCAGGGAGCAAGTACCCATTCCTGTGATGCTGCAGGCATGGCCTGGGAGGCACAGCAACATCCCTGCCCTGGCAGCAACCCAGGAGTGACTTTCCAGTGGTAGAACAGTAACTTCTGGGAGCAAGTCAAGATCCTGCCCAAGCCCGGGGAAGACGGCAGCACTGAGCGCTCCTGGGCTTCCCAAGAGGAATATTTCAGTGTAACCCACACACAGTACATGACATGGGCCCTGAGCGAGGCACAGCATGACTTACAGCTGACTTCAGCAGGCTTTAGTTTGATCTGTAAATCCTCTAGACACTTCACAAGAATGTTGCTCAACTCCCACTGCCTTCAGCCTCACAAGAGGTAGACATAAATACTTAGCATTAGCATAAGCTCCCCATGACTCACTTTTTCTCCTTTTTAAATATAGCATCCTATAAACGTGGATACATTCTGAGCAATAAAACTCACATTGTTACTGTTCATCATGAAACCATAACAAAAAATTCCTCCTGCCAGCTTTGGACAGTTTCCTCCACCAAACCCCAACCACTGGTGACCCTCCCACAGCTGAGATAGAATAAATGAGGCTCTCCTCTGTCAGGGAACCCAGGCAGCACAGGGACTCGGCATTGTGGCAGCAGATGTGGAGCTGGGCAGAAAGCTCCGTCATCAACCCAGCCACTCATATCAACTTTATTAAGAAAAGCAGGGATTTGCCAGAAAGGAATATTTTCAGTAGCCGAGAAGCAGCCTGTGCCAGCCCTGGGGAAGCCACTCACTGAAGAAGTGGTCATGGAGGCATCTCCAGCTGGGGGATGCTTCCCACTCTTCATCTTCCCCCAGACATACATCACCTCCCTCCCTCACCAGGCTTGAGCTTCCTTCCTTAGAAAAGCCAAACCCACATCGTCTGGCCAAGCAAATGCCACAGACTGCTTCAGAAGCACCAAGGAAGAGCCAGATAGGAAAAGCATGGAGCTGAGCTTGTTGATTTTCACGGGAATTGAGACCCAGTTTCAGCACCCTCCTGTCTGTCCTGCTGCAGACTTTCTTGTGTGATCAATCCTTCACGCTGTGTTTAGCTTTACTGAATACTTCAGTTCCCCAGCTGTACAAATGAGATAAAAAGCAGGTCCCTATCTCACAGGTATGTTGCAAAATAAATAGATTTTGCATTACAAGTGTTACAGGAATGCTTTAAAACTTGCACAAGTATCAAGACTAATCCATCACTACTAAAAAAGAACTCTAAGACTGATAGCAAATTAAAATCTTACCTACACAAACATTGGAGCATGCAAGACTGTTTTCTTAGTTTATCTGTTTCTTCTGATAACAATGTTTGCCCCAGTGACTTGAACTGTTCTAGTCACAAGCTATTTGAGTTAAGTGCACCAAATCCTGTCTAGGGAAATACATGCTTTGCTCTGTCTACAACAACAGCTGAGGCATCAGTCATCCTCTCAGCTGTCCTAAAGACTCAGCTGAAAATGCATGCTCACATCCATCCTGCTGTCAGGTGACTGTAAAGTACATTTTTACTTCTTGGACCTGTCTAGTAAGATTACCCATGAGAATTTATTTACCACAGTATTTTTCTAATTGTTTCTCCAACATTCTTATTTAATATCTGAAATGAGTGGAGTGGCAGAGCTGCCACTCTGATCTTAGAAACTGGCATTTTAAAGACAAGATAAACAAAAGCCTTTGCTTAAAACTTCAAGGAGTGTGTGTAGCTTAAAAAGCTAATTCCTATTTAGAATAATGACTAAGACTCTGAGGAATCTAACTCCCAGAGTCACACAGGTAGTTTTGAATATGTTACCCTTTCAGAGTAATTATGCCATCAAAGTTCCAGTCAAAAGCTGATGAGCGTTACTAATATATGCTGATGAGAGAGCCTGAACGTGAAAGACCTTCTTGGTTTATTTACACTCCAGTAAATCAGAAAGACTTATTTTCACATAGAGAGTAACAGACCTAACCACAAGGGACATTTAAGGAGGTTAACCCACAGCCCAGGGAGTAGGTTTACTGTAAACTGGCTGCAAGCTGATGCTGTTGTACTTGTTTTCACTGGAGATGATGGAAATTTGTAGCAGCTGTTTGGACTTCACTGGACTAGCACCAGTCACTATATAAAGCAGTGGTCTGGCCCATTACCTGAATCATTACAAGTCACCATTCAGATGCAAAATAGTCCCCAGGCAGTCCTCAGTGACATTCATCTCTAGACCAAGAACTAGGCAGATGCAGTCAAGAGCTGATGAAGACAGAATAAACCACTTTTACCACCCTGCATAAAGTTAGATATTTGGTTCGACATTCTCTGCAGAAGCAGATCTTCTCAAAGAGAAGGCAAGGCAGACATTGTGTTATCTGGGAGAAGGTGAAGGAGTGCCAGGAACTTTTTAAGCTGCTCTATAGTAGAAGAAGAAAGTACAAGAAACTAGTTAAAGATTTTACTCTTGAGCCTATCAATGTCAAACAAATTCCAAGGTTAACAAAATTTTGCCAAAACTTAATACGTAAATTGTACAAGCACTGAACATTTCTGCTGGTCAGTTCTGGCCAGAAGAGAAGTAGCAGGAAGGGGAATCCCATCCAAGACCGTCTCAGATACTTGGATGCCTTCTGAAGTATCTCACGTATATTTATGCTCTCAACACACCCCACAAAGAAATAACTTCTACTACCCCATTTTAGATGGAAGAAAAGTGATCTCAGTGAGAGGCAGGTTCGTTGGTACCTGTAAGAGTTGCTGACCTTAGCTTAGCCACCTTTGGCCAGTTTGTCACAAAGAAAGTACTTGGGGGCAGTTTCCAATCCCTTCACCTAGCTCCAGCAATTGGGCTGGTCTCTCAGAAACCTATCTGCAAGTGCAACACCAAGCACCACTCACTGGAAAAGCAGTGTCTGAAGCAGTAAAATTGCAGGAGAGTCAGTAATGAGCACTGTAACTAGAGCAAGCTACTTAAAAATATTGTTAACCTCCCCCAACCCTGTCCCTACCCCTTCCCTCAATTGTTATTTCAGGAGACTTTTTTGTACAAATAATTTTTGTACAATTATTTCATTATCTAATGGCAAACTGGCTGCCTGTTCCATCTCTATGCAAGATTTCCATATATATTACTCCTCAGCTGACATTTTCTCACACATACACATGCCCCAATCAGCAATTGCTCTGCTACATGCTCAAACGGAGAATAAAAGAGCCATAAATCTCAAAAAATGAGTATGCCAAAAAATTCAGCATCAGAAGTTACAGCTCTTCATTTCTCCTCTCTGTTCAGAAAGAGCCAGTTGTGGCTTATTGCAGATGTTATTGAAGTAGACGGTGTTTCTCTAGATTTACTTTGGATACACTCAGGATGTGACCCACTGGAGCGCTGGAACTTTGTTCCCCACAGAGAAAAATACAGCCAGTGACATTAAAGTAGAACAGGAAGGCTACTCTCCCCTCCCTGGTAAGTATCTTCTCTCAAGCACCCCTGTAAGCAACAACAGGAGAAAGAAGCAACAACTCCACCAGGGAGTGGGCTAATGTTCCTCCCATCTGCCAGACCCACGCTCATTCTGTTTTCACTTGGATCAAATCCTCCCAACCCCTTCTGCTTTATACTTCATTAAACTTGGGTGCTTCATACAACAAAAATAATGTCATCCATCTTTGAAAGGTCATTTTCAAGGCACATTTCCATATCTTTAATACCACTTCTCTTCCTTAGCCCTGCCTTGGAAGCCTGAAAATGAATTCCCTATTTTTCACATTGAATCTGTCCCCTGAATCTCAATCTACTTATTTATGACAATAAAAGCTTATGCAAACACACCACTTTGGCAAAACACTCCCCTCTTCATTCCTGTGGATTCATGTTGATATTCTCCACCTCCAGAATCTGAAGTACTCCCTGCATTAAGAGCTGCACATTCCCATGCTAAGGTGCAATCCCTCCTAACTCCACCTGTGCAGGTAAGAGAGGTAAAGGGATGAGCAGTCATGGAGATGTTACAATGCTGAGGCAAAAGAAGCTCTACAAATTGTAGGGGCACTGCACTGAAGGCGCTGCAGGGCTCCAAAAGTTGAGCGAGTCTGAAGTGAGGAGCCACCAGAAGTGACAGCTTGGCTGAAGGAGTGACAAACAACCCAGGGAAAACCAAATTATTAAGAGCAGTCAAGCTGAAGTCTGGAGCCTAAAACTTTTACAGAGCAAACTGATTCATCCTAATGAACTGACTCACCTGTAGCCAGCATGTCAGTAAGGATGCCAGGCTTGGCAGCTGTGGATAGAGGTTCTTGGCTTGAATCCAGCTACAGAAAGGACTTCACACCCAGGGGGAAGGATGATAAAAATGAAAGGGCAGAAATGAATGAAGCTGAACAGCTTTGCTCAAGGAGCCTTCCAAAATTAAGAGAAGGGAGTAGAGTTTCTGCTCAAACGTTGTCAATCCTGAAACACCACTAGAAGCACATGGTGCAGCTAATGGGCCAGGGAGGACTCAGGACACTGCAGTTAAAGAAGAGCCTAAGAAACCACAACACAGTATCAACACCAATGAATCACCACATCCATTTTTCTTATATCCACCTGCCTTACACTGCCTTTGCCAATGACAATACCAGCTCACGTGCAGGACTCATTTTCACACTTCCAGTCCCCAAATGCCATGTCTCCACCAGTGCCAAAAAAATGCACGGGGAGAATGAAGTCAGTCCCCTCTAACCACCTTCTGATACAATGTTATTCCTCCCTAGTGCTAGCCTCAGTCCCAGGTTAAGAAAAAAACATCCAGTGCAACAAATACTAAAACGTCCTCCCATGAAGAAGGCAAGTTTAGTTTCTGCAATTCTTAGAACATCTGCAAAAATATTTGAGCTTGTGAAAATACCCACCAAAAACTTCAGTAAATAGTACTGCCTCTCACATAATTTCTGGAAAGAGGTGCTGGGCCAGCTCTGACCCTAGCGCAGCTGCCCTGGCTCAGGAGTGATGCTTGGTGGGTCGTTTGGCTCTCTGCAGTCTGGGTATACACTCTTTATCATATAGGAAATCTCCTGGAATGGAGGAGAAAAACCAAAGAAAGACAAACAAATTGATGAGGAACTATAATATGAAGCTAGTCATAACTATTTTTTACATACATTATTATCTTTAAGGAGAAGCTGTCAGCTTGGTATTTTCAGACTCAGATATCTAGAAAGAAATCATACCTCTCTTAGGCAGCCCAAAGTTCTACTACAGAGAGGTGCTCTTCTTTAAAGCTTTTACTTTGTAATTTCCTTGCCACACCCCTTTTTCTTTCTCCTATCTTTCTCTTAGCCTTTCTTAAATTAATAGACCATGTTTCTGCAAATCTGTTTCAACATATTCAGAGCAAGAGACAAGTACCTTTCATATTGAAAAATTACAGTTTCAGGGCTTTGAAATGCATCTCACTTGTGCAGAAAGAGCCTGAGCTAACCAGATAATATCAGAGTGAACACTCAGAAAGCACATCTATAGCTGATACGACTATAAAGTTCAGTCACTTTTCTTAATCTCAACTCTTCTTTGAACAATAGTTTCCAGGTAAGATGTTTAAACATTTCCAGTCAATAGCATCCCTTTAAGCCTGCCAATAAAATCCAAACTTAGATGATTTAAGCTACTTGAAGAATTGATGGCTTAGATTTTCGTATTTCCATGGCATTACTGGATAACTGTGCCAGCTGACAGTGATGAAGGGCTGCAGTTCCCTGTGCTGGGAAAAAGCCTCACGCCGGGCTCGGGGCTCCCCTGTGCGCTTTGCTCTTCTGAGAAAAGCCCTGTCTCCACTCCGACCTGCCGGTGTGAAGTCCCGATTTGTTTCACGACGCGATCAGCTCCGCCAGGGAGGGTCACTGGAGCAGAGGAGAGCACGATGCTTGAGACTTATCCCCCCGAGCTCTAACACTTAACTCGCTCCTCAGCTTACAGCCAGCGTGGCTTTAGCTGAGTTTCTCTGTCTAGGAAGCAGGGCTTCATACGTTGTTTCTAGGGCTCTTAAACCGTTGATTTAAATAAATAAGCAAACAAAAAACCTACAAGTTTTCTATCTAATCCCAGCAATCCCAATCACAAGGTCAGAAAAATCTTAGTCCTATCTGTGGTTCAGGTTGTTTTCTTATAGCAGAGAGTAAAAAAGCAAAGTAAAAGTAAAGTAAAACCAGAAGAAAAAAAACCAAAACCAACCAAAAAAAAACACTCCAAATCCGTACCTCCTCCTCCTCCTCTCTTTGTTTCTTTGTAATTGAAGATAGCATCTCTATCCTTGTAAAAGTTATGGAAGCTTATACAAAGTACTCAGTGATCCAAGAGCAATTTTAATGTAAGATAAGAAAGCTCGCCATACCCAGATCACATCAAAATACACCCAGGGTAGGAAACTAAAATATTACCGCGACTCTGAATGTGCGGCGGGGGAGGGGGGGTGTGTGTGTGATGTGTAATCCCTGTCACAAGCAAAATCCAACAAACCCTCAATCTACAAAGCCCTTCCATCACGCCGCGTAACTCAGAGCGACCCCTGTTCTCAGCGCACAGCCCGAGGAGACACGGACCGCACGGCGTTCCGACCATTGCGCCACACATTCCCTCCTGCCGGCGCTCGGCGGGGCAGGGACGCCGGGCCCCGCAGCCCTCCCGCCGCACGAAGCCCCCGTACCGTCCGTCCGCGGCGACAGCGCTCTCTTCCCGACACCGAGCTGCGGCCAGGGAAAGCGGCGGTGCCCGGGGCGCGCTGCTCCCGACGGGGGGGCTCATGCCAGC